TGGTAGCCATGGAATTGCTTACGTATTGCTAGCGTCTCACGTCCAACGATGGTTCCACGTGAGTGAAGTTGCCTCTGTTGATAAGTTGACCTAAAATATGTTTAGAAATATTTTAAGTTCATCTTCTTCTGGAAATCAACTGACCGACTGCCAATTTTCTGTTGCGTCCTTAATGTCAACGTCGATACATATATCAACGTAGAAATAAAATACTAATGTTTGCAGTTAAAGATTAGTCTTTATTTAATACAATTAACTCATTAAGAATACAATTTATGCACAAGATGGTTGTGGTAGGTATTTGACCTGCCTGAAATACTGATAGACAGAGACCTGGTGTGTACGACCTGCCTCTGAGCGTCTTCGAATATCTAACCATCTGCTAGCTCTTTTGGTCTCTTATATATGGTTAACCGTCAAGAGTGGTGACTGAGGAGGTGGTGACCCGATGACCCTAAGAGAACTCTAAATTAAATGTATTATTCAGTTGGGTGCCTTTCCTGCGATTTCATCGGTTCAAAATTACAAGACGTGATCAAGTCTTAATTGTCATATTAAATAAGCAATTTACTATCGTTTACTCATTTTCTGAGAGTGAGTGATCATGTCTTTATTCATTATATATTAAATATCACGATGTGGTGATCGCCATATTATTCGTTGGTGCTACACTGTTTGAATATATTATCCCATCGGTATACACATCACCTCTCCGTATAATAATTACGTGTAAAATAACACGGTACGTAACAATACAGTAATTCTGTAACCAAGTATTCCTGTAAGTAATATATTCTAAATTAAATAAATTATATTTTCCTGATAGAACAAAATAAGCTTAAAAGTATTATGTGCAATTTGTTTATGTAGTTAACATATTTTTGGATAAATGTCATTTTGAATATAAAAAAAAACGGTTGATGTTACATATCATCATGGAGAGTTAGTACAATAGTACGATTTGATTAAATGTCAATTAGGTATTATATACTACCAGACTTATTACAGAGTAAGAAACACAAAAATATTTATAACTATCAGTAAACTATTTTTGTAATATAGTCATTTTAGAAACTAGATTACGGTAGAACATGGTTGTAAGTTTATTGCATCTAGCGAAACCAGAGCCTGGTTTCGTTAGTCCCCAGCGGTGGTTCTCGGGCCTGGTACTGCCAGGGCGGGAGTCCGCTAACGACACCGATCACCAGCGTGGCGTGCGGGGTTGGGCTCCGTACGCGTCCGCTATAGACGGAGCGTTTGCCTGATCCATGGGGCGGCGGAGACGCCGTTCCACGGGCATGAAGGCCTAGGTCATCCCGTGGCGCGGAGCCTTTCACCAGGTAGTCGACTCGTCGGCTTCCCGGGGAGAGGTTACCGCGCCGATATCGCTCCCCTCTGAAATGCGGCTAGCCGCGTGGATGATGTAGCCTGGTGGGTGCCGGGCCGCCTTGACCACTGTGAGGGTCCTGGCGGGCCGTCCCTGGTAGGCGATGGCTCCGGTCGCGCCTAGGCGCGGCCGGGTGGACCTATATCAGAGATATTGTGGTTTCGATGCGGGCGCTGGTGGAAAGGCGCCCGTACCGACGGATCGGGGCTTCCTCGTAGCAGGTAGATGTAAACGACGCGGCCCTCGGGCAGCGACGGCTAACACCAATCCAACTTCAACCGTCGGCCCCACCGAGAAAGGTGGCGGCTATGCGTCCGCAGCGGTGGCTGCTGACGGTAAACTAGTGGTATATATGCTAGCTTCAATGGCAGCGTTCACCGGTATCAGCCGAGGTTTACTCGTCGAAGCGGAATTTGACCGTGGTGACACTCGGCGGTAGCAAACAGGGGTCGGATGTCCGGTCGCGGGCGATTGTAAACTCTCCCGATGGTACACTCTCCCGGGTCTACTCCAGTACTACCTGACGGAACGTGTAAATTCTCCCGGATTTATTCCTGTACTACCTAATGGAAACATGTAAACTCTCCCGGGTCTAGTAAAAATCATAAAATAAATTTAATATACATTTAAATTGCGTTTAAAAATAGTCAATCATATTTAATAATAATAATAATAATAATAATAACAATATAAATTAATGTCTTTAGCTGCTATGAACATGATATTATAGTCAATATACAATAAAAAATAAAATTTCAAAAAATCCAATATACATTTAAGTTTCTTTTAAAAATAGTCAATAATAATAATATAAGTTACAATTACAAAATATACGTAAAAATGTTAAAATCATTGTTTTTGATAATAAGAATATACAGATTTAAAAAAGTTAGGGAATCTATTTTTTTTCTTTATTATCTAAAATTTTTTGGGATATATTTTTTTCTTTATTTTTTGTATAAATATTTTTATTCGATTTATTTAATTTATTGCAACTTTGAATTTTAACATATATTTCAATTTGAAAATCCATTAGAGCATTAATGAATATAAATAAAGATGGATGAGTACTTGAGAAATATGAATTTAAATGCGAATGGAACGACTCACTATAAAGTTGACCCGGGAGTGTTTATATATTTACTTCAGGTAAACATAATTTTGACCCGGGAGAGTTTACTATTTTTATAAATCGGGAGAGTTAACCTGACCGTGTCAAAGTAGTTTTTTTTTGATAAACATATTAATTTAAATAAAACACTTACAAAAAGCTTCTTTTGAAATGGTTTTACTAATTGCTAAAGCTAAAAAAAGTTTTACTATTGGAGAAAATTTGGTTTTACCTGCAGCAGTAAAAATATGTGAAACTGTACACGGTGTTAAAATTGCAGACGCATTGCGGTCCATCCCTGTTTCTAATGATACTATTAAAAGAAGAATAGACTGTATGGGGGATTATATGAAATTACAATTATTAATTAAAATTAAAAGTAGTGACACTTTTGCAATACAACTTGATGAATCGACCGATCTTACAAATAATGCCCAGTTAATGCTATTTGTGAGATATCAATATAATCTAAAAATAAATGAAGATTTATTTTTTTGTGAAACTCTTTCCGAGACAACAAAAGGCATAGATATATTTAAAAAAGTAAGTGATTTTTTTCTTATAAATAAACTAGACTGGTCCAAATGTGATGGTGTACGTACAGATGGAGCAGCAGCAATGACTGGTAGAATAACAGGGTTTAAGACAGAAGTGATGAGAGTTAGTCCTGATATAAGATTTGTTCATTGCATTATACATAGGGAACATTTAACTTTTCGAAAATTGGCTGTGAACTGAATTCAATTATGAATGATAAAGTATCAATTGTAAATTTCGTGAAAACCCATGCTCTAAATTCTCGACTTTTTAAAATTTTATGCGAAGATATGGGATCCAACCATAATACATTACTATTCCATACTGACGTTCGTTGGCTATCCCGTGGGAAAGTTTTGAAAAGAGTTATAAAACTAAGTGATGAGCTCCGTATAGTTCTTCGTGATATTAAACCAGATTTATCTGCACTTTTAAGTAATGAAAAATGGATGTGTTTAACTTAATATTTAGTAGATTTGTTCGATAAAGTTAATTAATTAAATCTATCTCCCCAAGGTAAAAATACCAACATTTTAATACTTACCGCAAAACTTCAAGCCTTTAATCAAAAATTGTCTTCTTGGTTAAACGCATTTAAAAATGGAAATTCCTCAATGTTTACGAGTTTACATGATTTTATTACAGTAAATGAGTTTTCAGTGACAACTTTAGTTTCAAGTGTAATAACTGATCATTTGTCTTCAATGTTAAAATTTTTATCTGAATATTTTCCAAATTTAAATAAAAATAACGAACACAATTGGGTAAAAAGACCATTTTCTATTACTTTGAAATACGATCATATTTCATGGGCAATTGAAATTAGAAAATACTCAACTCTCGAAGCCGAATTTAATGAAAAATAACTTACTGAATTTTGATTAAGACGACAACATGAGTATCCTGTAATTTCAAAAGCAGCTTTACTTATATTATTACCTTTCGCATCAACATATCTTTGTGAAACTGCGTTTTCACAACTTCAAATTATAAAAAACGAACATAGATCATTCATTTCACAACAGTCTTTAGAAGCTAACTTGCATATTTCAGTTTCAAACATCACAACTGACATAAATATGTTATGCGAAAATACGCAAGCCCAACCGTCACATTAATAATTATCATTCATCACATTTTCTTTTATTATTATCATTATTATTATAAGCCTAGCCTGTGTTTGAAACCAAATCAATATTATTAATAAATATTTTTGGATTGCTTTATAGTTATTACCAATTATTTTTTGCTTATATATGTTTTAAGTTTTATACAACTATAAGATTGCATATTTGAAAAATTTATTTAAAACCATTTATTTTCTTTACATTTTAATAATTTAATTGTGTAAAATAGTGCATGTAAATTAAGTATATTATCAAGAAAAAATAATTAATGATTCTGTGCGGATGTTAACGTGAGGTCGACGGTGTTGCACGATGAAGTCTCGGATGACCGGGGCGAAGTAATCGTGGATTTGATAAGTAAAAAGAGCCTGTCCGTGCTGAATTAGCCAGACCAACCTAGGACGTTTATGAATAGAGGGTCAGCCAACCTGGACGTCACCCTCGCGTCGCCCTCGGTGGCGCGCAGGGTGACGGACTGGAGGTTTACACCCGGATTAACGTCGAGCGATCACAACGTAATCAGCTTTAAATATGTGTGCAGCCAGAACGCGCTTTCGTTCATGGGTAATGCCGTACGGAAACGATATTTATGGAAAAATACCGATTGGAAATCGTTCCGTTACACCTTAAAAAGTTTAACGATAGCACGGTCAGCCGAGCTCGGTTGCCCGGTCGTAAATCCCAGTGTGAACGCACTCTCGGAAGTGCTGCAAACGGCTTGTGATACCCACATGAAACGGGCCGTGGTTGGACGGCTGAAACCGCCTCTCTGGTGGAGCTCGGACCTCGGTAGCGAGCTCGCCCGATTGGGACGCTGGAAGCGCAAACTACGCGCAGAACGCAACGCGTTCAGAAAGAGAGCCATAAGGAGGAAGTACACAGACCTCAAGCGGAGATATAACCGCGCCTGCTTCAGAGCACGGCGGACGGCCTGGCGCTCCTTCGTTACCGACATCGGGAACGAGGAGCCCTGGGGACCCGTCTACAAATGGCTGAAATCCAGGGGAACACGGCCCTCAGAGAAATTACCAGCGTCCATCAAAAAAATGGACGGAACATTTACATGTTCGCTTAGGGAGACCGGCGAGAGACTTCTCGAATAACTGGTCTCTGAGGATAGCGACACAACGGAGACTGCAGGACAGGCGGAAAATCGTAGGGAGACCGGCGTTATGTGGGTAGATTCGAGCCGGCATTACCTGATCTTAGTCCGACGTTCGACCCGGTAGGTTAGTCACCTAACCGTGCAATATGAGCTGAAAGATTCCATATGGCGGATGAAAACATGTAAGGCCCCGGGCCTAGACGGGATCACGGCAAGAATTCTGCGGCAAGCGTGGCCCGTCCTTAAAAACCAAATTACGTTTGCGTTCAAAGCATAATTGTCCGAGTGGGCGTAGCCAGAACGACCGCCGACCGTCAGCGACGGCGGCGGGGCAAAAGCCTGCGAAGAACCGGTTAGTGGCAGACGAAGCGGTACCTCATAGCCGGACCAAGGGAACTAAGACGGTGCCCCCACAGGATCGTCCAACGCCCTTCGTACTAGAACCCGCCTAGCCGGGAGTGAGGGACGGGATACCTCGCGGGACGAATTGGGTGCCCGCCTCCTAACGGCGATTGGATGGGATATTACGGGGGGTGAATTGGGTGCCCTCACTCCCTTATGAATGAATTCTTGCCTATACCGAGAGTTTGAGCTATAGAGGCCAGACCACCCTTCGGGCGAAGGACGTGCGCGTATTCCGCCGGCTCGGAGCTTGATACGGGAGAAGCACCGGCAGAAACGGCAATCTGTCGACAAAGACAAAAACCGTACGCAACTTAAGGGGGTCGTTACACACAGCGGTGCCCCGATTGTGAACCTGCTTGCGGAAAAGGCAGTTGCGAGGGCCTGAACGTCGGGTTCAAACCTTATACCACGGGACTCGGTGTAAGCCCCATTGAGTCGGCTTGCTAATAGCGTCTTGACGCTCCGGGGGTGGCGGACCCGAGGCGCGCGACCGCGTGGACTCACCGAGGACACGCGCTCGTCCATACCGGGGAAGCCACACTTGAGGAAGGATTTGTGGTGGTTGTGGGAGTACCGCCTTAGTAGAAGGGGTTTGACTCAGGCGATAATCCGTCGGGCTCTGGCCGCGGCGGTCACTCATTATGGCGCCCGTGGTGAGGCGGCGCCCCGGGTGGGACTCCGGGATAGACATCTGGGTTTTCTGCCTGGAAGAGATAACCTCATGGTTATATATAGGGGTTGAGTGTCTTCGGGGTAACTCGGAAGAACTGGTTTGTCCCGCACAACACACAAAAAGTTTTCACACACTAAAACAAATAAAGTAGGAAAAACAAATGATGAACTTGAGAGTGTAAATACTGATAATGATTATATTATTCAAATTCCAAATAAATCTGAAATCGTGGGTAAAAATGGTTTTTTATGGAAAACTCAGATTACTAAGTCCGGTGGTAAAGTTTCTCAAAAAAATATTATTCATATTCTTCCTGGACCAACCCCCCATGGCAATTAATTCATATGAGCCAATCGAGTGTTTCAAACTCTTTTTCACTGATGAATTAATTAATTTAGTTCTTTTGTACACAAATCAAGAAATAGATCGTCAGAGAGTAAATTACAAAAATAATGAGAGCGCAAATTTATGTCATGTGACATTATCTGAACTCAATGCTTTATTTGGTGTTTTGGTACTCCTTTGAAATAACCATTTGACCACGAAGTTACTCTTTAATACTTCATTTTGTGGTGATAGATATCGGCAACTATGTCAGAAAGTAAATTTAATTTTTTAATTAATTGTTTGAGGTTTGATGACAGAAACACTCGTCCCCAGCGTAAAAAGGAAATAAAGTTAGCACCTATTTCTATCATATGGGATATTTTAATGAATAATTGTAGAAACAATTACAAGCCCGGAAGTTACGTAACTATTGACAAACAATTAGAAGAATTTAGAGGAAGATGGCCATTCAGGATGTATAACCCATCTAAACCTACGAGGTATGGAATCAAAATAGTGATGATGTGTAATAATTCATCGAAATATGTCTTTGATGCTGTACCATATTTAGGAAAAGGGACAGTACCTAATGGTTTAGTTGGTGCTGACTTTTTTGTGAAACAATTAGTAGCTAGTATAAAAGGATCCAATCGTAATGTGACCATAGATAATTGGTTTCGTAATATACCATTAGTACTATCTCTTTTGAAAGAAGGAAAGCTAACTGTGATAGGAACAATAAAAAAAAAATAAAAGAGAGTTTCCTACTCAGTTCACAGACCTTAAGTTTCAAAAAAGAAAACCACAATAATCATTTTTCCTTTTTCATCAAGATATGACTGTTGTATCTTACAAACCTAACCAAAATAAACTTGTAGCTTTGATATAATCTGCTCATCAAGATTCGTCTTTAGATAAAAATACCAATAAAACCGGAAATAGTTATAAATTACAATTCCACAAAAGGAGGTGTTGATTCCTTTGATCAAATGACCCATAATATGAATTGTAGTCGAAAAACAAAACGTTGGTCGTTATGTTTTTTTTACAACTTTTTGAATATTGCTAACGTAAACGCTTACGTGATTTATTTACATAAATTTTATAAAAAAAATAAAGATAATCGAAAGCCACTATCTAGATTCTAGAATACACTTTATGTTAGGATTGCACAAGCAACTGACAGAAGAATGGCAATGTCAAAGGTTAAACATTCCAAGTATCAGCAAAGAACTTAGGAGAACTATACAAGAGGTGATTGGTGAAAAACAAGGTACAATTGATACAAGTCATAACACTCAATCAGGTCCAAGAAAGTATTGCACATTTTGTAATTATAAAAAGAAAAGATTGACGACCACATACTACATCGGATGTGAGAGACTTGTTTGTGGAGAACACCAGAAAAAAAAAATGTATTGAATGTTGAAGAAATTGTCATTTTTATAAAGTTTCGTATTTTATAGTTTGTTTTTTTTTATAAATTAATTTATTAAGTATAAAAATGTATAATTTATAGATGTTTGTTTACTTTTTTATGTTTGAAAAATTAATACAAACATATAAGACTTATTTTGTTTGAATTAATATTATATATTTATTTTATTCTTATTTTATTTTTGACAAAAAAATATAAAAAAACCAAGTTAAATTACGGATTAATAAAAAAAAAAAAATGTTATACATAAAAATTACGTATCATTACCTGTACTGTAGTATGATATGACATTAGTACTTTAGGGTTAATATAGTTTAGTTGGTAGTTAAAAACTAAATACATTCCACATTATATTTGACATGAAAAAACGAATACCTAACATTCTTACTAAGTACAAATAATGTGTTGATATTTATCTTGGTTTTTTTTTTTTTAAACTATAACTACCTGCATTAATTTTACTCATTAATATAATTATTAATTTTATTTATTCTTTTTTTTGTCTATCAAACACTGTATAGGCCGGGTACGTACAATAATAGGCCGTGTGCCCGGTTGCCAAATATTTAATGCTATTATACGGTCACACACCGACCGACTTATTTGTATGTGTGTGTATATTGTATATGTGTGTAGCACTCAACAGGAGTGGACAGGTTCGGGCCGAGACAAATCCTGTGAGTGCTAGTATGTCAGTTTGTAGTGTGTATTTTGTATATGTAATCTTAATGTCTAGGATGAATAGGAATCTAAATAAAGGTAACTCAAATTTATGCAATAGGTGAAAAATATATATTATAAATAATTAAAGCGCGGATTTTATGCACTAAAGTATCAAATATGGCATATATATGCAGTAAAAATGAATGAAAATATGTCAGTCAAAATGATAAATATGCAAATATACAAAAATTTTGTATGTTAAAATTTCACCAATAAACTTTAATAATTAATTACTTAAATTAATAATAAATATCTGAACTAATTATTTTAAAATTGATGACTATTAAATTAATAATCATATGTCATTTCAAGTTTTCTGTTGGAAGTAATATATTTATCGATTAACATATTTTTACTGAGAACGAACGACGTTAACCAGTATGTGGCAATATTTGAAGCTAACTATATTTCGTCGGATCTTGATAAAGATCTTCAAGATGAACGTTTTCACTTAATAACACTGAATTAATTTTCGTAGAATTTTCAGACCTTCATTTTTATTGGAAAGTTTCGTTTAATTTTATTGTAAGTGTTACACCTTCAATCCAGAATAGAATGCATTTTATTTGTTTGTCAATTATTGAAAAGCTTAGATATAAGTCATATTTCGAGTTTGTTTTTATGACTATTTTATCACTAAAATGCCAATGAATAGATATAAATTTTAAATCATTCTCCGGTTTGACAAAATATTATCCTATACATTTTAAATTTTCGCTTCAATATGCAATAAATTTTGAATTTTGTCAAAATATAAAATATGCAATAACCTTCAAATATGCAGAATATGCAAAAATTTACCCATTAGCTTCAAATTATGATATTCGTGGAGATAACTGACAAAATCCAAAATATTAAAAGGAAAAATATGCACGGCATAGAAATCCGCGCTCTAATAATAATATATTAATAAGCTACGGTCTCATTAACAGTTAAAATATAATAAAAGGTAGCTATTAGAGCCACAATGAAGAATATAATATAATAATATAAAGTATTGGCTAGAGTCTACAAAATATAATAATAATAAATAATAAAAAGATAGCTATTAGAGCTACAATAATAAAATAATAATAATTATTTTGGCTCAATTATAATATAAATATATAATAAAAACTCACAGTTTGTTCATGCACTGCTGCAGCTGCTACCTAGCTGTATAAATGGTAATTAATACACACAGAAAATACAAGTAGAAATATATAAAAGAAAGATAAAAATATTCAAATAATATATAAACATTGGCTATTCAAGCACAAACAAATCAAATAAACAAAATTGGTGATTTTCGCACACAATATAATATAAAGTTAGTGGCGACTCGCGACACGAAAATTATATATTAATAAGTGGCGATTCGCGCACACCATAAATATAATATTACAAAATTAATAGCGATTTGCGCAACAAAATATTATAATTCAAAACTAATATATATAATATAATATAACGGCCGTTGGTCTGTTCGATACAGTACGACGAAAGACAATTTTGGCGGTTGCGTTATACTGCGCGCACGGCGAGCCGGCGGCAGCAGATAACGCGCCGATAATTAATTTAAATAATATTATATAATTCACAAACACAATATAATTAAAACAAAAATAAATATAAAAATAACAGCTAGCATATATGAGTGTTTGTGTTGAGTGTGTGGATCGGTCGGTAGCGGCAACATATAAATAATAAAATATAATACCTACTATGTGCGGCGGCAACATTCTCCCCCCGTTGAAATCTTGATTTCAACATTTAAGGCCATCTGATTCTATTTTTCAATATTAGAGTTTTCTGGCTCTACTGGTAAACGACATAATTTCACTACCGGTCTTTTTAGCTCATCATGATTTGATGTCTTCAAAGTAACTACTCGTACAATCCCATCACTACCAGGATGCGTTTTTGTTACTCTTCCTAACTTCCATTTGCCTGGTGGTGTGAATTCTTCTTTGATGATTACTATTTCTCCAATTTTCATCTGTTCAGTTTGAGACACCCAACGACCTCTAACTTGAAGCTGTGGCAAATATTCTTTTGACCAGCGTTTCCAAAACATTTGCATTAAGGCCTGCACATATTTCCACCTCCGTAATGCATTTATGTTTTCTTTTGACAAATCGGGTTCTGGTACTAAGAGAAGTGGTCCACCAATTAAAAAGTGTGCCGGTGTTATAGGCTCTAAGTCCAGAGCATCAAGGCTTAACGGTGTTAACGGACGAGAGTTCAAACATGCCTCAATCTGACAAAGTAAGGTTCCTAATTCTTCTAAAGTAAATCTTGAATCTTTTACTACCCTAGTTAAATGATGCTTTGCACTCTTTACAGCACTTTCCCAAATTCCACCAAAATGTGGTGCAGCCGGTGGATTAAAGTGCCATTGTATACCATCCTGAGCTATATTTGAGTCGGCATCTTTTATATAGTTTGCTAATTCACGCTGAACACCAACAAAATTCGTACCATTGTCACTATATATTTTTGAGCATTTTCCTCTCCGTGCCATAAATCGCCGTAGCGCGGCAAAAAAGGCATTACTCGTAAGCCCTACTACTGGCTCTAGATGTATTGCTCTTGTTGCTAAGCACACAAAAACTGCAATCCACGTTTTAATGCTGGTAACGCGGCGTATGCCACTTCTGAGATTCAAAGGACCTGCAAAATCAACACCTGTTGTCGAAAATGGTCTAGAAGGGTGTACTCTTGGACTTGGTAAAATTCCCATGATAGGATGCACAAATTTAGGTTTAGAACGAACACATGTTACACAACGCAATGCAGTGGAACGAGCTGCTATCCTACCTTTTATAGGCCAAAATCGAAGTCTTATTTCTGCTAGTAACAACTGTGGTCCTCCGTGTAATAAAATTTCATGATAATATACAAAAATTAATCTTGTTACCTTATGGCCAAATGGTAAAATTATGGGGTGTTTTTGTTCATTTGACAGGGTTGAATTATGCAATCTTCCTCCAACTACAATTAAGTTATCTGTACTGATAAACGGAGATAGTGCTCTTAACTTACTATTTCTTGACACGCTTTTATTATCAGTTAATGCCTTATATTCAATTGCAAACTCATCTTTTTGTGCGCATCTTATTAGCCAACATTCTGCATTGCTAAAATCTGATACCGTGAGATATTTAACAAAGCCTTGCTTGTATCTTTTTAATCTTAAAAACTGAATAAATTTCAAAACCCAAGCAGTTGCCCGAACTAGCTTTTCCCACTTAGAATACCTATCTAGCAAACCATTTTTAAACTTTACTATAGTTAAACTCAACTGAACAGGTCTAAGTTCCGGTAGTGTTTCTTCCGGCATCAATGCAAATATGGACTGACTCCTCCAAGAAATCGTATCTCCTGATAACCATTGTGGACCAAACCACCAAGTCGTAGCATCTGGTAACTCTTGCGTTGTAATGCCTCTAGAGAGTATGTCAGCTGGATTTTCATTTGTTGCAACGTGATGCCATTGCGGTGCCTTTGTAATTTCTAGAATTTGGCTAACACGATTAGCTACGAATGTTTTTAATCGCGATGAATGACTATTTAGCCACCCCAACACTATCATTGAATCAGTCCACAAATGGATAGTTTCACAGTTAATATTCCAAGAGTCAGCTACCTTAGCTGACAACTGAGCCAAGAGAAGTGCCCCACTTAGCTCTAGTCGAGGAATAGATGCAGCTTTTAATGGTGTATATCCTAGTAGGTATAATACCTACTATGTGCGGCGGCAACAAACACAGTGTTGTTAAAGAACGATTCTTGGAATTGATTACCTTTTAGAGGAACGAATAACGAAATTAATTCCATTATTTTTTAAGGAATAGAAACATAAATTAATTCTTTATTTTTATGAATAGAAACTTTAATATTATAATTATTTTGTTTTCCTCAGTAACATTTGGAAAAAAAAATGTAGTTTACATGTTTTTAATGTAATAGACGAGTACAATACTTGTATCCTCAATGACTAATTTCCATAACTATACTACCTACAATTAGATTAATATGAAATGTTGGATTTTTGTTAATAATTTTGTTAGCCTCTTAGCAAAACCCTAGTGTTGCATTACACAGAGATACATAATAATTCAGGTTTCTAAATAATTGAATTTAAAATATCTTAATATGTTAGGTACATTGAACTAAACTTCAAAACTAATATTACCAACCTACATACCTAATAAAAAACAAAACAATTAATAATAAATTATGTACCATTGAATAATTCTACATTGAAATCTCCTATATTATTAAATAATAATAGGTTAACAAACGTTCGAGGCTTTTTACTATTTTTTTTCAATAACAACTACATATATTTTTAATTTACTGAACATATTATACAAATTTTTAAAATTAAATGTCTTCATAGATACATAACATATCTAATGACCAGAGGAAAAAATGGGTTATAATTAATTTCATTTTTAAATAAATGTAATTTAATTTAATGTATGGTTTCATTATTTTGTTTTGATCTATTACTATCTATGTTATACATATTTGGAAAATGATTTATAATATTATTTTTGAAATTTGGGTATACATTTATGTATATAATATACCTATGTCTAGTAAAAGATATTATTAAAATTATTTTTCTTTATTTATTAATATGCAACTATTCCTATACAAAATATATTTGTATTATTGCTTGGTTCCATAGGTATTTGATACCTGTTTTCAAGTATTTAATTCTATCAAAATAACTTGACATTCAAATTATAAATATATTTTTTTCATATAATTTAATTTCATAGAATATGTGTCATTATATTTTGTTTTAAAATACAAATGTGCTTGATTGTTTTAAAAATTTTAAATTTATCACATTATTATAAGTAAGGTTACCTACCATTAGTAAGGCATTATCAAAACAGAGATATTTTATCTAGGCTAAAGTTCTATAATATAATTGTTTCATAGTGTGACCATAATTATTTCATCCTAAAGGGGGACACTTAAAAAAAGCGGTGTGTACTAGTTGCGGTCATTATCAAAAATTACATACTAGTTGCGGTCCCCCCTCAAAAAGGTTACATACTAGTTGCGGTCGACCACCAAAAAGGTTACATACTAGTTGCGGTCACTCAAATAATAATAACTATGAAATTAATATTTGGTTTACTTATTTAATTTAGAAAAATGTATTAATCAACATTTTCCTTCCCATTTATATCGAAAAGATAACAGACTTAAGACTGTCTACACTATTATTTATTGTGTAGGTATGGTTAAAAATGTTGATATTTATGTTTAAATTACGTGGTTAAACTTGTGTCAAAGTATAATATAATATAATATGTACAATACTGTCAAATAATAATTATTATATAAATTGTGTTAAAATATAGTATTTATAAATTTTAAAATTTTGTAGGTATAAATTTAAAGGAAATCGACTTTAGATATTCAAGCCGATTTATTTCGCCTTCTTCGTAATACTGTATTTGTTGCGCTAAAAAATGCTCTTTTTCTATTGAAATTTTATTAACACGACTGGTTTTTGTACAATTCATTTTTAAATAGCCATTCGTTTGAATTTCATTTAAAGCGTCAATAAATATAAAAATATTAGGGTGAGAGTGGTAAAACATGCTATTGAGCTTTGAATGAAAGCTTTCGCATGCATTGGTTGTTCGTGTTATTGAAGACGAACATTCAGTCCATAATGACGGTGGATATCTCGAATCTTCCCTTACATACACTTCTAAAATATAGTCTGTAAATGCAGTCAATTTTGAATTATTAGGTGGAAGAAGAGCCATAATATCTGTGACAAAACAATCGTCAACTTCATCTGGTCGTAGAAACGGAAGTCCGAAAAAAAGTTTCAAATATTCGGACATTTCACCGGGTTTCATATATGGTTTTGCTAGACCTAATGACTACATTTTGCGAAACCATGCTTGCCCTAGGTGAAAACGGCATGCTTTCAAATTTGTAGTAGGCCACACGTCTTTAATTGCTGTGTGAATAGCCTGTTCGAAGTCACTGAAAACTCTATTTGGGATATAGTCACATAAATGATTTTTGAGATGATTTAATACAGTCTTGTACGCATTATGACATTTACTAGGCAATAACGAAAAAAACAATGGTATATATGAGCTATTTTTAAATCCATGAATTACAAAAAATTGCTTAAAAGGAAAAGGACAACTTGAAAAAGTACCATCCATAAAAATTGAATCACATTGCTTAAGAAAATCAAGATTTATCTGAGTTGTAAAACACACTATATTGTTCTGAACATCATTTATAAAAATCCATTTTTCATTATTTTTCGTCAGTATTTTTATTCATTACGTCAGGAAGCGTCGCATGCAATTGTGGAAAGTCACGTGGCAACTTCGGATAAATATTCATTCGTGCAGTATGTATATTTTTCCTAATCAAAGAAATATCATTTGAGTCGAGTACACTTAGTGCTGTACTTGACATCTCAGAATGAATAATTTTAGAAGGGCGCTCACTAAACTGCTCTACTGCCTTACGTTTAACACTGTTACTAACCTTTTGCCGTAATATTGATTGAAGATCATCTGGTTCATGATTATGTGTTGTATTTTGTTCACAAATAGTACCATTAACATCGTATTTTATAGCCGCATTACATGTTTTTTTACAACATACCCACCGTTGTACGTCATTCGCTAGTGTACGATAGAATCGAAATTTATAATTATTAACGACCCGTAATGGTTTTAATTTTTCACTCAACATATTTTTCGAATTCATTTTTATGTTTTACCGTATCAAAAGACGTAAGCACAATGAAAGCAATATTCAAAACTATGATCGGAGTATACAATTTAATCTATTTTATTTATAAACTTTACAGATAAGTAGTGGTGTTCCCACATACATACGCTGTGTGCATTATATCAAAAAATATGTTTATCGTATAATATAAATTTCGCCTGGAATTGGAGTATAATAAAGCTTTGACCGCAACTAAGATATTACCTAAATTGGCGTGACCGCAACTGTTATATCCGTTTATCTCAAAAA